CCCCCCCCCCCTCCTTCCCCCTCGCCAAGGAGATTGACCATGCCGCTGAGAGGGCGGGGGCCGCTGCACTTGCCTCTGACGTTGAAGCCGCCGCCGCCGCCGCTGTTGCCGCTGGCCTGTTGCCGCCGCATGCCGCCGCCGCTGTCGCTCTCGTCACTGCCACGACTGCCGCCATTGCCATCTCCCGGGCCGTGGGTGTTGACCGATTCCGGAGTCGCGGCTGCTGCTGGGAAAAGGCGGGCTAGGTTAGGGGGTGTGGGTGTGTGTGGGCTTGTTACTACCAAGCCTAAGGGGTGTGTTAAATTATATATTTTGTTATATAATTGGTAGGCTTGGTAGGTGTTACTGAAACCTATTGTAGATGGTACAACCCTCCTCCTTGTATCCCTCTCTCTCTCTTTCCTCTCGTCAACTTTCTCCTTCCTAAACCTCACGCCATTCCATGGCTCCCCTCCTACCTAGCTTAGTTTAACACCATTTTCCACGTCGCCCCTCCTGCTTCCCGCTACTCGCTTCTGGCTGCTTCCCGCACGTGCTGCATAGGCTGAAACAGGGTTCGACGTTTAGCGTCGGAAGGGTTGCGTACCCAGAAAAACAAATTCACGTGGAAAATATATACGCCATATGGTCCCAAATATATATACATTTTCACTGAGGCATATATTTCTTTTTCTATGCTTTGTTATTATACTACGAGTTTTTTACCAAAGCTTGATTTTACATGATGATAGAATCATAAAAGTTTTTTTTTTCAATATTTCGATTCAATTATTGCACACGTATTATTGAAGTCTAAGCTTAAATTGGGAGAGTGAACACTCGTCACCACGAGAAGTATTGTATTATCATATGCACTAGGATACAGTTTAGCGGGTAGATTTTTATCGATATGAGACAATTAGGGCTTTCGGAAGAGTTGCTGACTTGGTTTGAGTGAACTCTGCTGACTCGGTAAGGGGTTGGTGGTGGTGCCCTTGGCAAGGCAATCTTGATACACCCAAACCAACTTCCTGCTCCACCCAACTCGCTCCAATCTTGCTTCTCATCGCCCGTAATTCGTTATGGCTTGTAGGGAGCCATAGTTAGGTTGCCATACTTGGATGACATCATCCTTACCATTTCGAATCGCTGCTCGTTGGCACTAGGGGCCCAGGCGCCGTGCTTCCTGCCGCAAGCGCGCAGATGCCGCACTTGCTGGCGCGAGCTCGTTGGCGCTAGGCGCGCAGGCGCCTCGCGAACTGGCGCTAGTGCGCTGGCGCCGATGTGTCTGGCGCTAGCACGCTAACGCCGCACCTAGGCGGGTAGGTGCCGCGCTGACTGGTGCGCGCTAGCTCTAGGGGTGGAAGCACCATGCTGGCTTGCGCTAGCGCACTGTTGCCAGGGCGCTGACGACGCGCTGACTGGCACGCACTGGATCTAGGGTCGCAAGCGCCGTGCTGGTTGGCGCTAGGCGCGCAGGCGCCACGCTGGCTCTAGGGGCGCAAGCGCCGCGCTGGCCTGCGCTGGCGTGCTAGCGTCGCGCTCGCAGGTGCAGGCGCGCTGGTGCCGCGCTGGCTCTAGGCACGCAGGCGATGCGGTCACCAGCGCTAAGCACGCAAATGCCTAGCGGGCTGGCGTAGCGCACTGGCTCTAGGCGCGCTGGCGTCAGCCGCTCTGACGCCCCGCTGTGCAGAAGGAGCCCAGGCGGCTCGCGCGTTGGTGCAAGGCATGCGGTGATCCTGTGCACAGGCACCGCGCTTGATGGCGGAACGGGCTGATGGCGTGGCAAGCGACGTGCTTCGTTGGTGCTGAGTAATAGTGAGGCGCCCTCTCTTCTGGCAGGTCAGCTACTGATGACACCCATGTGACCCATTGCCTCGTGCTGCTTGCAGAATTCTGCTGGTTATGGTACTCGGAAGAACGCAGCGCCACCCATCTAGCAGTTGATTCTTTGGCAGGTGAGTCTTTCGCCTGTGCGTTACTCGGTATCAGCAGATGGTGTGAAATGTCATTGCAAGAAAGCGGCTTCACATTGTCATTGCAAGAAAGCCTTCCTTCACATTGTCACTGTTGTGCATTTCGATTGTTCTTCCTGTCGCCTTCCTTTTCCTCACGTCACCAATTCCCTTCCGGTCACCTGTATCTCTTGTCACCCTTCCTATTGCGGCTTTGTGTAGAATCTAGACGCCTATCAGCTTGCCGTCTGATAGAGACGTGCCAGCGGCAGCACCTAGCGACACCCAGCAACACATAGCAACACCTAGCAGCACCTAGCAGCACCTAGCAACACCTAGCAGCACCTAGCAACGCCTAGCAACACCTAGCAACACCTAGCAGCACCTAGCAGCACCTAGCAGCATCTAGCAGCACCTAGCAACACCTAGCAGCACCTAGCAGCACCTAGCAACACCTAGCAGCACCTAGCAGCACCTAGCAACACCTAGCAGCACCTAGCAGCACCCAACAGCACCTTGCAATACCTAGCAGCACCTAGCAGCACCTAGCAGCACCTAGCAGCACCTAGCAGCACCTAGCAACACCTAGCAGCACCTAGCAGCACCTAGCAGCACCTAGTAGCACCTAGCAGCACCTAGCAACACCTAGCACCACCTAGCAGCACCTAGCAACACCTAGCAGCACCTAGCAGCACCTAGCAACACCTAGCAGCACCTAGCAGCACCTAGCAACACCTAGCAGCACCTAGCAGCACCTGGCAGCACCTAGTAGCACCTAGCAGCACCTAGCAACACCTAGCAGCACCTAGCAGCACCTAGCAACACCTAGCAGCACCTAGCAGCACCTAGCAACACCTAGCAGCACCTAGCAGCACCTAGCAACACCTAGCAGCACCTAGCAGCACCTGGCAGCACCTAGTAGCACCTAGCAACACCTAGCAACACCTAGCAGCACCTAGCAGCACCTAGCAACACCTAGCAGCACCTAGCAGCACCTAGCAGCACCTAGCAACACCTAGCAGCACCTAGCAGCACCTAGCAGCACCTAGCAGCACCTAGCAGCACCTAGCAGCACCTAGCAGCACCTAGTAGCACCTAGCAGCACCTAGCAACACCTAGCAGCACCTAGCAGCACCTAGCAATATCTAGCAGCACCTAGCAGCACCTAGCAACACCTAGCAGCACCTAGCAGCACCTAGCAACACCTAGCAGCACCTAGCAGCACCTAGCAACACCTAGCAGCACCTAGCAGCACCTGGCAGCACCTAGTAGCACCTAGCAACACCTAGCAACACCTAGCAGCACCTAGCAGCACCTAGCAACACCTAGCAGCACCTAGCAGCACCTAGCAGCACCTAGCAGCACCTAGCAACACCTAGCAGCACCTAGCAGCACCTAGCAGCACCTAGCAGCACCTAGCAGCACCTAGCAGCACCTAGCAGCACCTAGTAGCACCTAGCAGCACCTAGCAACACCTAGCAGCACCTAGCAGCACCTAGCAATATCTAGCAGCACCTAGCAGCACCTAGCAACACCTAGCAGCACCTAGCAGCACCTAGCAACACCTAGCAGCACCTAGCAGCACCTAGCAACACCTAGCAGCACCTAGCAGCACCTGGCAGCACCTAGTAGCACCTAGCAACACCTAGCAACACCTAGCAGCACCTAGCAGCACCTAGCAACACCTAGCAGCACCTTGCAGCACCTAGCAACACCTAGCAGCACCTAGCAGCACCTAAAAGCACCTAGCAATACCTAGCAGCACCTAGCAGCACCTAGCATCACCTAGCAGCACCTAGCAGCACCTAGCAGCACCTAGCAACACCTAGCAGCACCTAGCAGCACCTAGCAATACCTAGCAGCACCTAGCAATACCTAGCAGCACCTAGCAGCACCTAGCAACACCTAGCAGCACCTAGCAGCACCTAGCAGCACCTAGCAACACCTAGCAACACCTAGCAGCAAGTTGAATCTGATAAATGTGTAGTGTTCTGTGGTGTAGTTTGCTCTAGCTGGTTGTGGGCTATTGGGATCTGGGCAAAAGAACCTGGGTTGGTTGGCAGGTTTGAACTCGTTACCTTTCCAACCCATACAACCTCAAACCCACTACAACATCTTTGATGTTGCAATCGTGGCACTTGAGAGTTTTCCGGTTTGGTCTAGGGCAAGGGTTGATGGTGTTTGACAATCACATACTCGAACTTTTCCTGATTGAACTGCCTCCCTTCTCGTTTTCACTAGGTCATTCATGGCTGCCTAGCCAAATTACCAGAATATCCCCTCATACTGATTTCGTCATAATCGGCGGCTCAGATCTTGGTTATGAACGTGCTTTATCATTTTGGAAAGTAGAGATTAAGAACTTTCCAACGCGTATAAGCTCATTTCTAGAAGTTACCTGAGCTGCACGCAATGTTCCGTTGAGGTCGTCAGACTTAATCTCTAATTAGTTCTCTCCAGATTTGCACAATTTCCATCAGTGGTATCAGAGCCACGGTTAGAGGACGTTCTTTCCTCCATTGAAAGAGATCTAGAGAGGCTTGAAGTGCTCCAGATCTAGGGTTTGACATGGCCCAAAAGTTGGATGGCCCTCCTAGGTTTACCGGCTCGGACTTTTCGCTATGGAGGTTCCAGTTCACACTATGGCTAGGTATTAAGGACCTAGAAAGTGTGTTGGATGGATCGGAGAAGCGACCACGAGCTGACTCTGGGGAGGCGTCTACTGGAGCAACCAGCCAAGTGGGATCCGGGGCTGGGGGAGCGTTGTTGAGTGGGGGGAATGAAGGAGGAACTGCTGCAACTCGAACCGGAAGGTCGCAACCAAGTCACGAGGAGTTGCTCAAAGCTCAAGAAGCATGGGATCGGAAGGATCGCCAGGCATTTCAGTACCTGTGTTGGGCTTTGGAGGGGCAACTTGAGCTTCTTAAGATGCTGATTGACCTGAAGGGGAAGGAAGGTGCAGCAGCTGCAGCTTGGAAAAGAGTGCAAGATAGGCACTTGCAGAAAGGGCTTCTAAGCGTGCTTACTTGGCGAAAACGGTTTTACACCATGGAGCGGAACTATGGGGAGGGGGAGACCATGGTTCAGTATCTCCAGAGGGTGGATGAGAATGTGAGGGCTTTGGAGGAGCTGGATTACACGGTAGATGAGAAGGAGATCATCTATACTGCACTCCAAGGGTTGGATCAAGCGGCTAATGAGGCATTACTACAGTACCTTCACCTCGAGCAACAGAAATGGACCAAGGTGTGGATTTGGGAGGTTCTAATTTCTGATGAGGCTCGCAAGGTTGATGCTGGAAGAGGCCTAGAAGGAGGCATGGGTGCAGCAGATAAAGCTTCCTTCAGGAAAGGCTATCAACAGCAAGGAGGTGGGGGGAAGAAGAAAGAGTTGGACAAATGACTTGTGCCCGGATGCAACAAAAAACACTCTTGGAAGAGTTGCTGGAGTAGGCCTGAGGGATGGAAGCCTCACGGCTACTCCGGAGAGGCCCCACCAGTGACCAAACCTGATTGGGTGGAGAAAAGGATGAAGAAGGGGCTCTGGAATAAGAAGGGCAGCAAGGGAGCAACGGCCGCAACTGCTAAGGATGAGAAGGGGAAGGGCCAAGACGACTCCTCCGATGATGGTTTTTCGTTTCTCATGCTAGGGCAGGATGCAGCTCTCGCTGGTCGTGCATTGGCTGACCCCAACTTCCTGGTTCTAGACTCTGGAGCAACATCTGGGATGCTTCCTCGCCGTGATCTCTTTACCTCCTACCATCCTCTCCCACCAAACTCTAGGAGCGTGATTGTTGGGAGCGGAGATTTGCTGCAGGCAATTGGCATCGGCACGATCACCATTAAGGGGAAGGAGGGGGAGCTAGTGGGTGTGAAGGGGGTCCTTCACGTCCCTGGTTTGGCTGCAAACCTCCTTTCATGCTCGCAGCTGGCTAAACAGGGATACATCTGCACTTTCACTGAGGGAGGGTGCACTGTTAGAAAGGGTGAAGCTGTGGTGATGGAGGCAAAGCTGGACAAGGGTTTATACCTTGTTCCAGCTTGTGTGCCTAATTGTTACAAGGGACATATGGTTTGTTCTGAGGAAGCCGCTTGTAGCACTCGCTGGAGGCAGGTGGAAACGGTGTCACCTGAGTTGCTACACCTTCGCATGGGGCACGCGGGGAAGCAGCAACTACTGGAGTGTGTGAAGAAGGGGGAGCTGAAGGGGGTGGAGGTCAAGGAAGGAGCTAGGCAGCAGAGAAAATGTCCTGACTGCACATCTGGAAAGCTGCCTAGAACCTCATTCCCTATCTCCTCTGATCATGCCTCGACTCCCCTTGAGCTTGTGCACATGGATGTGTGTGGACCGATGCAAACTCCTGACCGGGAAAGGGGCAGCAGGTACTTTGTCACCTTTCTTGATGACTTCAGTCGACTTAGCTGGGTCATATTGGTGAAGACCAAGGATGAGGTGGCAAAGGTGTTTAAGCGGTGGATACGCTATGTGGAGAGGGAGTCAGGGGCCAAGGTAAAGGTGTTAAGGTCAGATCGGGGTGGAGAGTACCTTGGGAAAGAACTTCAAATCTTCTTGGAAGAAAAGGGTATTTCCCACCAGCTCTCTGTACCTTACACACCACAGCAAAATGGGGCAGCGGAGCGGCTTAACAGGACCTTGACCGATTTGGCTCGGGCCATCCTTGCCCATGCCGAGCTTGATAACACTTGGTGGGGGGCAGCAGTGCAGTATGCCAACTGGGTGAAGAACAGGATGGGCAGCAAGGGGCTTGGAGGCAAGAGCCCATACTCTTTATGGACAGGGAAGGTGCCGAATGTTTCCATGGCACGAGTGTGGGGGTGCATGGCACAGTATAAGGTACCTGACCAGCAAAGGAGGAAGCTAGATCCTAAGGCACAGTGGGGGATCTTCCTTGGGGTTTCTGAGAGGAGCAAGGCTTGGGTGCTATGGAGTGTAGCTGACCAGCGTGTGATGGAGAGCCGTGATGTGATTTTCCATGAGGGGCTGAATTATAAGGGGTGGAAGGAGCGTGGTGCAAGCCATAGTGGGACTTCCATTCAAGACCCTCATACGGCCTCTATCTTTGAGGGGGCATGGGAGGACCCTGGAGATGAAGGGGAGGAGCAGCAGGACGAGCCAGAACCAGCTGATTCTAACCATGAGGAGTCCCAAGAGACAGATTCTACCCCTCAGCCAGCCACGCAGGCCGATGCACATGATGATCAGCCGGAGGAGCATGTGCCTTCAACTCCATCGAGAAGCAGTTGGCAGTAGTTGTTGAACCAGCAGCTGTCCAAGACTCCGAGGACTCCAATAAAGAGGGTAACTTGGGAGGAGAAGCTGCGGAGGCTGGAAGAAGGAGAGGCAACACCTCTGCGACGCAGTGCTCGAATTTCCCAGCCACCTGAAAGGTTTACCCCGGGGCACATTGCACGCATGCATGATCATCTTGTGTCTGATTTGGATGATTGCATGCTTGTGGACATGCATGGGCATGAGTATGCTCTTGATGTGTGTCTAATGGGTCAGGTGCATGAGCCTAGCTCAGTCCACGAGGTGCTGAACCGTCCCGAATGGGTTGAGTCCATGCATGAGGAGCTTGAATCTCACAATGTAAATGGATCATTTGAACTGGTTGATCCAGCAGTGGTACCACTTGGTTTGGAGGTCCTCAGGTGTCAATGGGTTTGGAAATACAAACATAACCCTGATGGTACCGTTGAGAGGCCTAAGTCCAGATTGGTGGTGATGGGAAACATGCAGAAATTGGGAGTACACTATGAAGAAGTGTACTCTCCAGTTGGGAAGCATGCGACCTTGAGAGGTATGCTTGGAATTTTGGCTGCTTTGAAGCTTGATATCCATCATATGGACGTCAAGACAGCCTTCCTCCATGGGGATTTGGAAGAAGAGCTTTACATGCGGCAGCCTCCTGGTTTTGATGATGGGTCTAACCGAGTGTGTCGCCTCAAAAGGTCCATTTATGGGCTGAAGCAAGCCCCACGACAGTGGTACCTGAAATTTGATGAGGCTCTCATGGATTTTGGGTTTGAGAGATCTGAGTGTGACCCTGCCTTGTACCACTTTGTGAGAGATGAGGAGAGGATCTCCTTATTCCTCTATGTGGATGACCTTTTGCTCCTATGCTCTCGTAAGGCTTTGCTAGATCGAGTGAAAGATTTCTTGTCCTCGCGTTTTCGCATGAAGGACTTGGGGGAGGTGAAGTACTACTTGGGAATGCAAATTGAGCGTGATGAGAGTGGTATCTTGATTCATCAAGAGAGGTACATTCTTAACATGCTTCAGTCCTTTGGCCTTTCAGAGGCCAACCCCGTGCGTACTCCTCTCCCGACAGGCTTTGATGTGCATGCCTATGAGGATGAACCTTTGCTGCGAGATGAGCTGGTCAAACTCTACCAAAGCATTGTGGGATCCCTCATCTATGCTTGTACTACCACACAGCCACAGATTGCATTCGCAGTCTCACAGCTGTCTAAGGTCGCCTCTTGTCCTAAAATGTTCCACTTGCAGGCCGCTAAGAGAGTGCTGAGGTACCTGAAAGGTGGTGTCAAGTCAGGTATCTTCTTCCAAACACAGCCCCAATCTCAGGTCCAGCTGGTTGGCTTCAGTGATGCCGACTATGCTGGAGATTCCGCAAGTCGCAAGAGCCACAGTGGGTATGTGTTCTGTCTGAATGGGGCAGCTATATCTTGGCAGAGCAAGAGGCAGCCCGTGGTGGCACTCTCTACCACTGAGAGTGAGTACATAAGTCTGTGTCAGTGCATTCAGGAGGGTGTGTGGCTGAGGCGTTTGTTTGGGGAGTTTGGCCATGCTCATGCTGGTGGTGTGCCTGTGTTTGTGGACAATCAGTCTGCCATTGCCCTTGCACAGAATGCATGCTTGCATGGCCGCACCAAACACATGCAGGTCCGGTGGCATTTCATTCGGGAGATGGTGGCTGCGGGAGAGGTGATTTTGCAGTGGTGCCCCACCAACCGTCAGGCTGCTGATATCCTTACCAAGTCTCTTCCATTTGAGCGTCATGGTGTGTGCATGACCTTGCTCGGGATGCAGCCCCACGATAAGAGGGTTCCCGCAGCAGATGCCGGCGCCTTGGTGCTCCTCTCCTTGGCGGACGCCATGCTCTGGGTGGCCCCAACCCATGGGCAAGGGGGAGTGGTGTGAAGTCTTTTGCCCTATGGTGTTGAGCCACACCCAGCACGAGCAAGGGGGAGTGATAAATGTGTAGTGTTCTGTGGTGTAGTTTGCTCTAGCTGGTTGTGGGCTATTGGGATTTGGGCAAAAGAACCTGGGTTGGTTGGCAGGTTTGAACTCGTTACCTTTCCAACCCATACAACCTCAAACCCACTACAACATCTTTGATGTTGCAATCGTGGCACTTGAGAGTTTTCCGGTTTGGTCTAGGGCAAGGGTTGGTGGTGTTTTACAATCACATACTCGAATTTTTCCTGATTGAACTGCCTCCCTTCTCGTTTTCACTAGGTCATTCATGGCTGCCTAGCCAAATTACCAGAATATCTCCTCATACTGATTTCGTCATAATCGGCGGCTCAGATCTTGGTTATGAACGTGCTTTATCATTTTGGAAAGTAGAGATTAAGAACTTTCCAACGCGTATAAGCTCATTTCTAGAAGTTACCTGTGTCAAACATGTGTAGTTATCATGTTTGTATAGACTGTATAGGGTCACCTTCTAGAGAGTACAACATTTAGGTATATGTTTGTGTACTCTCTCTCTCACATTATTCAATTCTAGGTTTTATATGGTATCACGAGTAGGTTTCGACCCCCCCCCCCCCCCCACCTACCGCTTCCGCTCCTCCCGTCGCGTCTCCTAGCCTCGCCTCGCCCCTCCTGAGCCCAGTCGCGACCCCTCCCCCTAGCCCCGTCGCGCCCCTTCCAGGGCCTCGTAGCGCCCCTCCAGGCCCCGTCGCGCCCCCCTTCCAGGGCTTCGTAACGCCCCTCCAGGCCCCCGTCGCGCCCCTCCAGGGCTCTGTAGCGCCCCTCCAGGGCCCCGTCGCGCCCCCTAGCGCCCCTCCTGGGCCCCGTAGCGCCCCTCCAGGGCCCCATCGCGCCCCTTCGCGCTCCTCCTGGGCCCCGTAGCGCCCCTCCAGGGCCCCGTCGCGCCCCGTAGCGCCCCTCCAGGGCCCCGTCGCGCCCCTTAGCGCCCCTCCTGGGCCCCGTCGCGCTCCTCACAGGCCCCGTAGCGCCCCGTAGCGCCCCTCCTGGGCCTCGTCGCGCCCCTCCTGGGCTTCGTAGCGCCCCTCCTGGGCTTCGTAACGCCCCTCCCAGGCCCCGTCGCGCCCCTCCTGGGCTCCGTAGCGCCCCTACTGGGACCCGTCGCGCCCTCCCTGGGCCCTGTAGCGCCCCTCCTGGGCCCCGTCGTGCCCCTCCCAGGCCCCGTCGCGCCCCTCCTAGGCCCGTAGTGCCCCTCCTGGGCCCGTAGCGCCCCTCCTGGGCCCCCCCCCCATTGCGCCCCTCCTGGGCCCCGCCGCGCCCCTCCTGGGCCCCCCCATTGCGCCCCTCCTGGGCCCGTAGCGCCCCTCCTGGGCCTGTTGCGCCCCTCCTGGGCCCTGCCGCGCTCCTCCCTGGGCCCCGTATCCACCCTCCTGGGCCCCGTCGCCCCTGCTCGGCCCCGTCGCCCCTGCTCGGCCCCGTCGCCCCAGCTCGGCCTTGTCGCGGCCTCTCGGCCCCGTGGCGCCCGCCCTGCCCCTGTCGCAGCTGCCCGGCCCCTGTCGCACCTGCCCGGCCCCGTCGCGCCCGCCCGGCCCCGTCGCCCCCGCCCGGCCCTGCTGTGTCCTGCCCGGCCCCGTCGCTGCCGCCCGGCCCTGTCGCTGCCGCCCGGCCTCGTAGCTGCCGCCCGGCCTTGTCGCTGCCGCCCGGCCCCGTCGCAGCCGCCCGGCCCCGTCGCAGCCGCCCGGCCCCGTCGCAGCCGCCCGGCCCCGTCGCAGCCGCCCGGCCCCGTCGCAGCCGCCCGGCCTTGTCGCTGCCGCCCGGCCTTGTCGCTGCCGCCCGGCCCCGTCGCAGCCGCCCGGCCCCGTCGCAGCCGCCCGGCCCCGTCGCAGCCGCCCGGCCCCGTCGCGCCTGCCCGGCCTCGACGTGCCTGCCCGGCCCCGTCGCGCCTGCCCGGCCCCGTCGCGCCTGCCCCGGCCCTCCATACTTCCTGGTACTGTCCCCCGTTCCCCGCACCACTTTGCACCCTCCTGCACTTTCCTGCCCCGCCTTGCACCGCATTGCACCTCACTGAACCGCACTGACCGCACTGCACCGCACTGAACCGCCCTGCACCGCACTGCATCGCACTGCACCGCACTGCACCGCACTGCACCGCCCTGCACCGCACTGCACAGCACTACACCGCACTCCACTGTCCTCCACTGCCCCTCATGGCTGCTGAGCTTCGTTTTGATGCTGAGGGTCAGCCTCTGGAGTTCGAGGCGTGGTTGGCTGACCTTCGCCGCCACCTCACTGGTCAGCGGCAGGACGGCCACCCGCTTTCTGCACACCTAGACGGTATGCTCCCCTGCCCTGACCCCCCTGCTGTGCTGCCTGCTGATCCCACGCCCGCTGAGCGCGAGTCCACTGCCGCCGCTGCCCTTGCCCGCTCTGTCTGGCTTTCCCGCGATGCCCTTGCTCAGCTCGCCATTAGCAATGCCCTCCCCCCCCTTGAGCGCCCTCGCTTTAGAACCATTACTACCGCCCAGGCCTACCTCGATGCTGTCATCAAGCGCTATTCTACCCCTCCTGCTGCCTCAGTGGGTCGCCTGATCCTCCCCCTGCTCTTTCCTGACCTGGCGTCCTTCCCCACTGTCTCTGACCTCGCTGCCCACCTGCGCTCGATAGATGAGGCCTGGCGCGCTGCCTGCACTGATGCACAGCTTAGAGTCCACCAGCCTCCCATGACCTCTACCCTCTACCTCCTTGCCACCCGCCTCCCTGACCGCCTTGCCGCCGCCCGCGACCAGTTCCTTAGCATCCACCCTGCTGCTCTCACCCTCACCGACTTTGTTGACACCCTGACTGCCATAGAGACTCGTCACCGCTCCATAGCCCAGGCGAGCGGTACAGTACCGGTCCCTATCTTTCAGGGTTGTGCCCCCGCTCAGTGTACCTTCTCCGACGGCTCTGTCGCTGTGGCTGAGACTGCTGCTGCAGTGCAGTCCCGCTCGGGGAAGGGCCGCCGCCCCAAGGTTGGGAGCGGCGGAGGTGGCGGGGGTGCGGGTGGGGGTAGTGGTGGAGGCGGGTCGTCCGGTGCCGGTGCGGACGTGGGGACCCTGCCCGGTCCAGCTGCCCCGCTGCCTCCACCGTTGCAGCAGCCGCAGCAGCAGCAGCCTCCGCAGCAGCCGCAGCAGCCGCCGCAGACGAGGCCGGCGAGTGCTCTCCCGCCTGGGTGGCCTGGAGCTGGTGGTGGTCGTGCGCGTGGTGGTGCACCGGGTGGTGGTTCTGGAGGCGGGCCCTGTCAGTACCAGATCCAGACCGGTCCTCGCCGCGGCTTCGTTTGCGGTAAGATCGGTCATTCCACTCCTCGCTGTTTTCGTCGTCTGGACGACCTGTTCCGCCAGCGCTTTGGCCCGGCGCCCGACCTCCCGGACTGGCACAGCTTGCTTAGGCGTAGCATTCGGATTTTTGACTTGGACATGGATGCCATTGTAGCAGCCTTGCATGTGATGTATGCCGATGACTCTAGTGTGCTTCCCTCTTATTACCCCGTGTTGCCTAGTGTAGCTGTGCCTAGCGTAGACTCCCCTGCTGCGTCAGGCGTAGGATCTCCTGCTTTGCTTAGCCTCGGTGCTTCCACCGCTTCACTGTCGCCCCGCGCGACTGCTGCGCTTTCCTTCACCTTGGACTCTGGCGCCTCCCGGTGTTTCTTCCGCGACTCCACGACGCTGACGCCGCTGCCTGTTCCTGCTGCAGTTACTCTTGCTGACCCCTCCGGTGGTCCCGTCTTTGCCCGCAGTTCCACCTCCCTTCCCTGTCCGGCGGTTCCTTCAGGTTCGCTCACCGGTCTGCATATCCCCTCGTTCTCCAGGAACCTAGTTGGTGTCGGCTGCCTCCAGGACCTTGGCGTCACCACTACGTTCCCTGGTCACGAGCGGTATGCTGTCTGTACCGAGGCCGCCACTGGTGCCCCCCTTACCACTTTCCCCCGGGACCCGGTGTCCGGCCTGTTCACACTTGACACCGCGACGTCCCCGGCTGGGTCTTCCCCCCAGGTAGCTGCGTCCACCCAGGTTGCTGCTGCGTGCTCCTGTCGGTCCCTCACTCATCCGACTCTCCTTTGGCACCACCGCCTTGGTCACCCTGCGCTCCCGCGTCTGCGTCACATGTCCCAGCACGGTCTCGTCCTTGGTCTCCCCGGTTCGTTCCCTGAGTTTCCCTCATCCCCCGCCCCACCGTGCACGCCTTGTGTCGAGGGCCGGCTCCGCCGTGCCCCTCACTCCTCCTCTTTTCCCCCTACCACCGCACCCCTGCAGACTCTGCACATGGACGTCTGGGGCCCAGCCCCGGTCCATGGGCCGCGTCGCGAGCGCTTCTTCCTAGTGCTTGTCGACGACTTCACACGTTACACCACCGTCTTTCCCCTGGAGCGGAAGGCCGACGTGCCTGACGTTCTCATCCCCTGGCTTGTCTCTGCTCGTGTCCACCGCGGTCTCCCTGCCTTGCGCCTCCACTCCGACCGGGGTGGCGAGTTCGCCTCAGGTGTCCTTGGTCGCTTCTGTCGTGCGGAGGGCATCACCCAGACGTTTACCCTGCCGGACTCCCCGCAGCAGAATGGGGTCGCTGAGCGACGCATCGGTTTGGTCACGGAGGTGGCTCGCACCTCCATGATCCACGCCGGTGCACCCCATTTTCTGTGGCCGTTCGCCGTGCGCTACGCTGCTCACCAGCTTAACCTGTGGCCGCACCCCCAGCAGCCGCAGGTTTCGCCGACCCTTCTGTGGACCGGGTCCCCTGGTGACGCGTCTGCGTTCCACGTCTGGGGCTGCCTTGCTCACGTTCGTG